CGCTGAATCCCCAACGTGAGAACCCAAGGCGCTGACCACTCTGCCATCACTCTCCCATGTCAGGCACAACCATGGTTCCGTATGATGTAGCTCGAGCCAAGCTCACATTTCCATAGTCCAGCTGCAGAGTCGAAAGGACGTGCAAGGACGTGGAGTTGGAACAGACCGAGATATTACAAACTAAGCAAACCTTTTGAACTAAAACTCCTTTAACAGCGTGAGGGGTTAAGACCTTTGTAAAAAGCCATGTTTAGTATGGATTCGAAGCCAGAGTGCTCCTACAAAAGCATCAAATTAAATTTAAATGCAAATAATTACATAATAGCTCGTCCAGACAACATTAATTTCAAAATGTTGCAACCGATGTACCAACACCAACACACGAAGTTTTTCGTGAGACAGCCTTGCACGATTGTACAGAAACTGGCACTCAGGTGAAGAAACATGGCAGCAACATCCCAGTACACACATTCGTCTAGACAGGACGAGCGAAGACGGCTCGTCGATGGCGTTGGTCTCCTCCTACTGGCTCTCTCACGGCTCCGATGATTTTTACCGGAGATCGGATGAGCACCATCCGCATCACCATCAGCAACAGTGCACCGTCCCTTTGGCCACATGTCGCACCAACGCATTGTCATACGCAGAGCTGGCAGCTAGCGACTCCTGGCGCAGATATCAGTCATCAAGCTCCGACCCAACGCGCTCGATAAATGTTGACAGCGGTAAGGCGGCCTGGGTGCACCAAAGCCCACGGCGACGGCACGGCAGGTATGCTGACAACGCAAAGTTGACCTGGGTGCACCAAAGCCCCCGGCGACGGCATGGTAGGCATGACATCGCGGCTGACGGGGAAGAGCTCCTCTCCGCATCACGGACATCGTTTGGGCCGAGCTTTACCGGTGGAAGCTCACACCATTTTATGACGGTATACGCCGTCGCAGCAACATTTATTATTTATCTGGAGGTGTTTGGTGAGAAGAAGGAAGTCGGTACTTCATCCGATATTTCGAGGGTGCTTCACGGTGCTCTTCGCCACCAAATACAGCATAAGAGTGCACGTTGTAAGTGCTCGCAGACAATATTTGAGTCTACCTGCTTCTTTACACTAACAGGCACTTAACACGGCTACGAGTGCTAAGCGCTTCACGCCATTACAAATACTGAGTGATGGGTGCGCTTGGGAGCTAGCACAGCAAATTTCAATCAGTCCAGCCTTTTGCTTGCAACAGTAGCGAAATAGTTTTGCAAGAGATGCGAAGAAGCCAGGATGCGTGCTACTTTGTTTGAATTCTGATCGACTCAGAAAGGCGAAGGCCTGTTGGGCGCTTTTTTACTTGCTCTCTCATATTTCCACCCTAAAGCTCGCTGGCAATTCGCCTCTTCACCACCAGGGTCACGCGTATTTCTCTGGGAGTGGCCAGCTCTGAACCGTGGCCCGGGCCGGCGCGAGGTCAGCATCCCTGTCTTCAGCGGTTGGAGCCGCGGACGTCAGGATAGAGTCGCTCTGCACGGGGCTCAGACGTCGCAGCGCCCCGCCGATGTCACCAGCGCCGGAGCCGGGCCAGAGGTTTGGCCATCCCACGCCGTCCCGGCGGCGGCGGTGGAGCGCCGACAGCGTCATCTGTCTGCTTGCCGGCCGGCCCCAACGGCCGCAGCCCCTGCATGGTGGCGCCGCCTGCTGCAACGGTGATTTTCTTTAATCGAACACTATATTTCTTCCGCTCAATACTGACGTGAAGGCAGAAACGGCGATTTGTCAGTAACGGTGTCCAGTCCTACTTCTATTCATGAACAACGGGTGCGATAATGTGCATGCGATGTCATCGTGCGGGCACCGGGGCTAGGCAATGTAAATCGCTCATCGGTCGCCATGCCCTATTGTGCCTCTTTGTGGGAGCGCTGCCGCTGGGCTATATAAATCGTTTATCGGCCGCCATGCCCTATTGTGCTCCATTGCGGGAGCACTGTCGCTGGGCAATGTAAGTCGCTCATCGGCCGCCATGCGCTAGTTTTGCTCGCATCCCGACTGAACGGCGGTCTGGAAAAAATGTATTCAGACCGTCAGCTAAGCCCAATCTGCAAGGTGTACACCAACGAGACAACAAAAATACTTGTACCCATGATCCATTTTTCCGGGCTGGGACAATTTTTTTTGCAGCTTATCCAGTGCAGCTTTCAGCGGTTTTGAAGCGTTTGTGTCAAGCTGGGTCGGCTGGAAAGAGAGAGGAGACGGAAAGTCAGCTCAAAAAGGCGCAGTACAACATTGTGCTGTACACATTTTATTTTGTTGCTGGTAATGTTTTACGTGTTCAAGCTAGCACGTCCACATATTTTGGTGGTCACTTTTAAATCCGTCGCGGTGGCATCGATATATAGGGGAAAAATTGGCATGACAGTATACGCGTAAAGAAAATAAATCAGGAATAGCGGCTGGGTAAAGAACAGTATATTATAAGGGCATGCAGCCGGAGCCTGGTAAATCACACGGCGCAGCAAACTCGATATGTTGTTCGGATCCGTGAGGATGAGGTTGCAAGATTAAAAAGGTGGCAAAATTAAAAACACGAACGCCGTTGGCTAGCTGGGATGCGTGGTCATGTCCGGGTAGTGAAGAAAGGAATTCTGCGAAAGAGGAATTTAAGATAATTGCTTTTGGTTGCATGTTAAAGACTAATCTGTTGAGGTGAGTTGCGTTGCTCGTATTCGTGTTGGCACTCGAGAGCGCGTGGCTACCTGCACACAGAGGCACATATGTGCACCGTTACAATTGCATGCTCTTGTCACTTAGCAGCGAGAAAAGCTTCTGATTTTCCGGGTATGATAGGCGACAAATGCTGAGAACTTTGCCAACCAATCGGTAACAAATTTCCGAAAATGGAAACAAATTTCAACAGACAAGACCATATTACAAGAGACTCTCCCAGCTTGACGAAATTTAAAGCTTAGTTTTGGTCTGTACTCGCTAACACTTGCAGCGTGAGCAAATGTCGAAACGTTGACGAAACGTATATATATATATATATATATATATATATATATATACACAATTGATTTGATGTGTATAAAAACATACATTGCATATCAGAAAATAATAGTCATGTTGTCATGTTACATCCACCAGGAGCTATGGATGAAATTTTGCAGTGACACAAGAAGCCTTGACGTGAAAATGTAGGCATGACCCAGAACAAAAACTATGAGTTGGAGGCCGAATGAGAATTCGTGCTGTACGTGGTCAGCACGCCCGGCTTGGAAACCGCCCCCTCCACATCATTCCTATCATACAGAGGTACTCTCAAGTTGGGCCTGTATTAGCGAAGATCAGTATGCTGGTCCGTTAGCTCAAGCGCCATGAACCGTTTGCACGCTGGACTGATGCACCGAAAGTTTTCAGAAAGCTTTTCTGGCATGTTTCTATAAATTTGTAGTATTTACTGAGCATTCTGACAGGGCAGATCTTGGCATGATTAAATGACGTTATCATGACATCATAAATGCCAAGGTGGGAATGCTCTCCCCGATATAGTTTCCTATTTTCGCGGACGTATAGCTCAGAAACTAGAGCGGTTTAGGTCTTGAGGAGGGCAGGGCTGTGAACTGCCCCGAACGGTCTTCGAGATGATTGTTGCGCTTCAAAACCCCATAGAAAGGTGGGAATTCCCTTTAACACCAGCCATTTTGCAAGAGGCATGGTATATGAATCTGCACCCGAAAACTACAACAGTGTATCTCTGCTAAGCTCTGATAATAGATGGACATACCGGTGTGTTGATGGGACCCATTTGCGTGGCTTTCACGGCGTCTGGGTCCATTTATTCAGGTTTGGGGCAATTCGCGTGAAGGTAATTGATAACCATCACGCCTGTTGTCACCACAACCGTCTTACGTTGCGGGAGGTGACTTGCTGGTAGTACTTTGTCCGAAAAAAACTGTAGTTTAAAGAGAGGCTCATTCCCGTATACCAAGTGTCCGACAGGTGTTTGTGATTTACGAAGGTCTCTAAATATCAGCATGCCACTCTTGGACAACTTGCACGGCCCCGAATCTTGCATTAAACATTTTAGAAACGCTTCGGTACCATCTGGACGCCGACATCGAGCTGAGCACTGGCGGTCGACCACTTGATCACGTCGATTGACCCCCTGATATATCAAAAACTAAGAAAGCTAGAGATGCCCAATTCACAGGCTGGATTAGCTCGCATATGAACTCAGTTGTGCCAATATTTGAGGTTCCTGGACCATTACCTCCGAGTCCAATAGGGTCAAACAAGGTAAAACTCCACATCGATGTTCAAAATGCCCCCAGATTTTTTCATGTAGCTACCCTGAACCTAGATATTTATTCTAGGCAAAAGACCCTCGAGTTCATTTTCTTTCAGTACACTTGTTTGATCTTAGGGGGTCATGGTAACATAAAGGAAGAAATTGTTTCGATATGTGAGTTTCAATAGACGTCAAGTATTGCGCTACACAGCATGTTCTTATAAAGTAGAAAGTTGATCTGGGCCATTATAAGTCAGTGAGCTATTCCGACCTATGAGAAGTCTATAGGTGATGTCTGTTGCGGTCCCTGTTTTTAATCATTTCGAGGTGAACATTAGAAACTGCCTCTTCAAGCAAGCTTGTCAGTTAAAAAGCAGGTTGGTTTTGATCTCGGTCTGACCTGCATGCCTGAACCAAGGCCAATGGGATTTGTCGTAACGTTGAGTTCAGTTGTCTTATTGTCTCAGAAGCTATGTCATAAATGCATGCTTTTGGCCATAGCTCCGTTGTCGCATTATATCTCACGAGGTACATCTAAATTGCTTACACCGAAAGATCCTCTATTCATTTGCCTATAGCTATGCAAGGTTTGGTGTCGCTCCGTCTCCCACTCAGTTCTCTGTTCTGCTCGATGCATGATGGCATATGCATGTATGCACTTACACCAAAGAGCGCAACATCCGGTGCGTCGGAATGTTCGCCAAGATAAATAAATCAAAAACTGGCATGTGCATTGTGCAGCAGTTTATTCGTCCAAAACGATACCAAGCGCACGGAAAATATAAGCCACATGTGCAACCAGAAGCAGTGCCAATTGGGTCCCGCAGTTCTGCCAGCAACTCCAAGACTGTATGATTGCTGTGCGAATCAGGCCACAGAAATGGCATCTTTACCTATGCCCTACCAGCATATCTCACCGTGTAGGTAGTTCACGGGCTTACCACGGCTTTTCATTAATCGTATTTTTAGAAACGAGTACCTGCTTTCTTGCCAAAAGATTATTTGCCCAGCGCTCGTCATGGCCTAAATCGGTGAAAAGACTGACGAAAATATCATGAACTGGACCAAACTGGCTTAAAAATCCCGAAGAGGCACAGATGACGTAAGCCTGGCTAAAATTTTGCGAGCTTTGATTTGATTTGATTTGAGAGCTTAAACGAACAGGAACGTATAGTGCACATGTAGGCATTGCATGTACAGCCCTGGATCAGATCAACTCATGTGGGACACAGTGATGCGGATTATGAAGGGAACGTTTTGCTCTACCATGTCGTTCCGAAAAACGTTTTGAGTTTTCTTCTTAAAGGCGCTGTACTTCTTTGGAGTGAATGGCTTTTGAGTATTGCGCGGAACTGAATCGTGAAAAATTGATCCACGATTGGCTACATGTCACCCAAAATCACGGTATCGGCAACAAATGCTGTCTCTTCCAGCGGGCTGTTGCCATCGTGCTCCGGCTGACCACCCACCAGCTCCTGTTGCAGGGCCACCTGTTTCCCCTCCACCAGCTGCTGTTCGATCTCCATCAGTTGCGACAGCCCCACCTCCTCCTCCAGCCTCTGCAGCCGCCGCTGGGTGTTGCTCAGCTGCTGGAGTAGCTGTTGCTGCCCGGAAAGAAGCTCTTCCAGCTCGTTGCGCAATGTGCTCACGCTCTGCTGGTGCTGCTGGCTCATGCGCAGCGCCACCACGCGGATGTCCGACAAGGGCAAGCAGACGACGTGACTGAGCGACCAGAGGCCGTCCTCGCAGACGGCCGTCGTTCGCTGCTTGAGCGGGTACAGCTGGTAGCCGGCGGCGCAGGCGTATTCAGTCACGGCCATCCACGCCGTGCCATTCTCCGCCTGCACGACGGCGTGCGGGATGGCCGGCGGCGGCGGGCAGGTCAGCGGCAGGCAGCTGAGCCGGACGGCGCCGCTGGCGACGTCTCGACACGACGTGACGTCAGTACAGTTGGCGCGGTAGCCGGGCTGGCAGGCCAGGCGCACCCCTGCCGTCGCCCACCGGCTCGTAGAAACCGTAAGCGGGACGGTCCAGCCGCGTGCAGTTGGGGTCGCCGCCATCCTGTTCCACGTGTGCTGCATCAAACGCAGCTATCTCGGCGACGGCGAGCGGCATGAACGTCGACAGCGCCCTGCTGACGACGATCTGGACTGGAGTGCCGAGGCCGTCGGCCGGACAGGAGCAGACGGCCAAGCTCGGGTCGGGCACGGCGGCGGAACTGTTGGCGCAGATGCACGGTGGCCGGTCTCCGGTTCCGTTCACGTCCCTCAGGGACACCACGCACCGCTGACCCAGAGACCTGACAAGCACCTGGCTGACGGACGCGTTCGTGGCCAGCTGCACAGCGATGGACTGCGGCTGCGCGGACGACATCAGCATGCACCAGTTGTCGGAGACACCGTCGACGACAACCTCCTCACAACTGTCGCTGAGCGCCTTCCCGTCGATGGACACCGGTCGGCCAAAGGCTACATTCCGGTAGCAGGAGGGAGGCTCCCCGGTCCAGTGGCCTCGCCGACACGTCCGGCGCAACGGACTGAGCGAGTCCCACCGGACGAACCCCTCGTCGCAGGCGTACGTCGCCTCGGCGCCATCAGGATAAAGCTGTAGGCCTGGGGTTGTTAGCGAACTGTGTTGGCTGGTGCCCGGTGTGCCGCAAGGTGCCGTGCACCCCTCCTCGTCCTCTCCGTGGCTACAGCTGACAGTGCCATCACACACACCAGCTTTGTCGATGATGGTTCCCGAGGCTGGGCATAAATAATATCGGCTACGTGACGAGTGACTCTCGCTGGGGTAGTAGGTCAATCTTCCATAATAGTGAGTGCTTCCGTCAGGTATTCTATGAATGTCCTGTCGTGCAGGTTCCCCTACTTTAATCAAGCCAATAACTTCATTGCCCTGCATGCACTTGATGGAGCCTCTGTCGGACGTAGAAAGATTGCAGGCGTCGCCCAGGACTCGGTTACCGTTCAGCCAGCGGCACCCCCCGTCCGTTGGCGGTCGGCAGAAGAGGGCGACCTCTTCTCCGGGCCACGCGTAGACCTGAGCTTCAGCGGCGCTGACCAGGTACCGTCGCGAAAGGCCGCAGGCTCCCTTCAACACCGACGCTGCGAAGACAGCGACGCTGCTTCAGTCCGACCCGAACGTATACGGTAACGCACCAGTATTACATCGTTGGGGTTGACTGCGATGGGAATGTTAATCCCAGCCAAACGTCGCGGATGGAAACACTGGTCAGTACATTGCTGGATGGGGATTACAACCAGCTGTATGAGGACGCGTGTACACATCATTTTAATTTTTCACTCACTCTGCGCATGATCACAAAGCCCGGGATCACTCTCGAAAAGTCTGGTAGCGGGTCTAGGATCCATGGTTTCCTGGCCATCGACCCCTGTTCAGCATTAAGGTCTAGCATCCATGAGGGTGTGGAGAGGGTCTAGGATCCATGGCTTCCTAGTTATTGATCCCTGTTCAGCAGTAAACAGCTGATCCCCTAATTAAGACTATTTCAATATTGGGCTGCCAGATTTTGTGAGAGGCCTTCATTAAAAAATATTTTAGCGAATACGTTTTTAGTGTGCGAAAATGTAGCACGCAGACCAGAGAGCAGCTGGAGGCATGCGTTTCCAACAGTCTGACCCCATCAAACTATCGTCAACCTCTTCCCACACTGCCATCCCGTTTACACAAAAGCTCAACATGCCGTTCGTTACATATCTGAAGCGTCGAAGCCTTGCGATTTGTTGTCAATTTAATGGTATGGTCCGCTACCGTCTGCACAATACCCTGACATGCGTTCCAAGTTCGCCCAACCACAGCTGCATGCAATTTTTGTCCGAGCATTGACATACACATTTGACAAGCTCTCTTTAGGACGATTTTTTCGCACCAAATGAGCGCATGAATACCAGTAAAAACGCATACCAGCAACGCGTTTTGAACAGTCAAGTTGCGTTCAGAGTACTCCGATTGGAACTGGATCATTTATGGGGATTGTTAACCTTCCTTACTATGCCTGTGGCATATTGCAGTTCTGTCCGACCGTGCTCGGATTCTTCTGACTGATTCAGAACTCCGGCATCGCTGTACGCATGCATTTAAGTCAAGGAGGGGGTAAATTTGAGCAAAAGGCACAAGGTAACTTTGCGTGAGTTCAGGGAACGTGCACGAAATTGCACGGGGCGCATTTACATAAGGAGGAGACTCATTTGCATGTCGGCAGCGCCATGTATAGGATTCCCCGTTTTCTTAAGCAACAGAGACCCCCCTTGGTAACAAGAGCGCAGCTCAGCGGCAAACGAGCTCCATGCAACTCAGAAGCCCACGAGTACCCAAAGGGTCATGAACATGTAGAAGAGTCGAAGGCCTTTCAGTCATCCCAGGGCCTACATAGGCAATGGGAGGCCAGTCAGGCTCAGAGCACCCGAAGGGCACCTCAGTGACCAGGAGCTCTACAGTAACCAGCAGGGTCCGCCAGTGACTATACAGGCCTCTGAGTGGATACAACTGCTCTTTTAGTGGCCAAAGGATCCCTGAGTAGAGATGTGATTTAAAGAGTTTAATGCGACTTCGGGGAGTCCAGGCTACCCCGCGCGGTCCAGGGACCCGCAGGAAGTTCAAAGTAGTTATGAGCGGTAGGTGCGGCTTTTGGAGTAGCCAAAAAGCCCCGGGAATTTAAAAATTCTAGTGTTTAGATAGTCATGGGGAAAATCTTGAAGGTTCTTAATAAAACCAATGTTCCAATCAACGGTCAGAAGAACATTAGCAGCCAGAAGGGCCCCTCAGTGGCCGGGCGGACCCCTTAGCTAAAAAGTTCTCGAGTGGCCAGGGGGCACAAACGAAATAGAATATTCTGGTTTTTCTAACACGTCTAGGAATCTAGACTGACACTGATTGGTCGGAAGGGCCCACAAGCTGCCAGAAGGGCTTTTGGTGAGGAGGAGTGGCACCTGAGCGGTGAAAAGGACCCTGAGCGGCTTACAAGATCCCGAGTGTCCGGAGCGCCGTGGAGATACAGCTAAATGGCTCTAGTGACAAAACGGGCAACTGAGCGACCAGTGGGCTCCCAATAGTCAGACAAACACTAAGATGGCCGATGAATAGCTTCTGAGCACCGAGAGGACCATCGCTGACCGGAGGGCTCTTGGGCGGCCAGTAAGGCTTCTTATGAGGAGACGAATGCCACTGGCCGCGGGACCAGAAGGGCCTCTCAGGGACCCCAGTGGCCGGAAGGACCTCTCGGTGGCGAGAATGGCTCCGAGCACCTAGAACAGCCCGTGCATTGGCATAGGTTTAACGTTAGTGCCATGGTCTGAGCACCTAAAACGGTCGTGAGCACACAGAGGACCCTGAGCGGTCAATGATGCTTCTGAACGGCCACAGAACCGAGGACAAGTGTCTCTGCGGAACCACTCTTCTAATGAGGAATGTGGTGGTTGGCTTAGTGTCCAGAACGGGCTTTTTATTTTTATTTTTTGGCAGGGGAATCCAGAGTACAAACCCTTAAGTAACCAGAGTGTCCCTGGGGTTCAGGCAGAGGGCCTACTGAACGGCTGGAGTCCAAGACGTGCCCTGGTGGGAGCTTCTGGACATTCAGGGGTTGATGGCTCTGTCTGAACCTCTGTTTTGGTAACCAAACTTTTGGGATCCTCTCGCTCAGTCTGTTTACTTTTCTTTGCGCTGCTAAGAAAACAGATCGCCTACGTGTTCTATGGAACGCACTAACCTCAAACTATTTCAGGCTTTCAGCGCCGGGGAGAGAGAGGGTCTGGACTTCCGATCCCAAAACGATCTCCAGCCACCCGTTACCACAGGCTTCAAGTTCATGATTTCAAACTATTGTGGAGGAGGGGGGGGGGGGGGAGGCGACTAAGTCCCAAAATGATGCGTAGTGATGACAATGCATACATCCCTGAAACCACCCATAATTTGTTAGAACCACATGAGGTCATTATGTAACAGTGAACGACATACAAAAGAACAACAATTGGTGGCTAGAATAAAAAATGATTCAACAACTTTGATACATTTGACGATCTCACGTTCATTTCAGTGTACTGCTGGCACCCAATCTGAGGAATTTGTACAGAAGTTCGGTGAATTCGCCAGTGTAACATACATTATGCCATACACAACATATAACACACACACACTGGGCTTAAGCGATTGTCAATAAAATTACGAGTCTTTGCAAAACCACCCTGAAAGTCGAATTGTACACAGTTGCTCGATTTCAGCGCTCTGATTTGCCGCCGAAAGCTCACCGAAGGTCACAGTGCAGAGAAGCACAGAGAGGAGCCGCATTCTCTGCTTCGGCGGGCTGCGTGGCGGTGTGCTGGCGGCGCTGGCTAGCGGCCCGGGTGACTGAGGCGGCGCTGGCGCCCGGGCAAGGGGTGCTGTTGACTGCCGGCCGGGCCGCTGTTGACACTGCGATTCGAGCCGGCTGCCCAGCCATGCAGCCAGGCCCTGGCGCCTCGTCATATCTGTAGAACGCCACAACAAGCAGAGGCGAGGGATGCGGGGGGGACTGGGGGCCAGCGACAATCCGCGGTCCCCGTGCTAAACGTCGGGGCGCTTGGTCCGCTAGGTCCGCTGCGTCCGGCGGCGCTCTGTCGAACGTCAAATGATGTGCCAGGCACGATGTATCTATGGCCATGATCCTGGCTGACTGCAGCTCCAAGTGCGCCGGCGACCTACAAGAAGACATGTGTTGTGCTGTGTGGCATTTCACCCGGTGTAGTAATACATAGTCCCAGGCCTTGCAGCCTCGCCCTTGCAATACAGACCTTGAGTTTCGTCCGCGTAATTGCTGGATGGACTAAATGGCGACAGCAGGACAAATAAATACAAGCACATTTCAAAAAGAAACATCTACACGTGACTGCCAAAACAACGGTATGAAACAAAGTTGGTGACAAATAGGTAAGAAACGCTATGTTACATCAAAACCCTGCATGTATATGTTTTGCGCACCCTGGCCTTCTTACGCGTGGTCTGACACTGTGAAGGTGAACGGCGTAAATACCCAAGATCTTTCCTGATATCATTCGAGGTGAAGGTGAGGACACGACGAATACGAGTGATCACTTAAACTTTTCCCAAACCGTTTTCCCATCAGCCAAAGACACGGGCGCGTTAATGGTACCACAATGGTGAACCTAACGTCAACTAAGGGCATCTTCAACGCCTCTCAAAAACACCGGTAGTATGGTTTTTAAAGGGTTCCAGTATCTCCGTCGCAAATGAAAATCGTGTGTGGTTATGTAAGCACGCTACAATGTAGTTGGACGGTACGATAAACGGTAACGGTAACCGGGGCGTTGCAATCATCGGCCTTTTAGCTTATCTTGAAATTCAGTGACCCTCTGCGTGGGTGTAGCTAAAACAGCATGTCCTCAAGGACGTGGTGCCCCGGAGAACGGTGTTGCGCTCGGACCCTATGTCGAGATATTCTCTTCTTATTCATCACTGTAGGATTAAAGTTAAACCACAAAAAAATATGAGAAAAATAACATCGCCAGTGCCCTGCGCGTCTATACCAGCCATCCCTTTCCTATGACGCCTGGGTTACCCTACTTTTGCCGAAATTGACCTTGGTTTCCCTTCGCACGGCATTGGTCGCGACATACGCTTCAATTGCATCATTCCATTAAAAGCGAAGCTCCAAGCTAGATTGCTCAGCCAAGACCGGATCCGTTTGTGCCCATTTCTGGGACGTGGCTACATCCATGGGCATTAGGTTGACACGAGTTTACCCCTGAGTGCGGGCCTGGATGCCACGTGCTCTGGCATCTGGCTTATTGCGCTACAGGCGCGCGGGCGGTACATCACGGGGATTCCCCGCCGGAAGAAGGCGACAGCTGCTTATATGAGGTCTGCGCGCAGTCATCTGTTGACATAATCCTGCCTGCTGATCCAACACAGAGCTGGCCTCCAGCAGGCAGCAGTGGATGCATCCCCTTTGGACCACTGTTTGCACGTTACACATACGTTCGGGTGAGAATAGACACGTCCGATATTGGGTTGCTACGGAGATGCTATCAGCTAATCAGAATGTCCTGAAAACGCCATATGTTTTGCGCAGATATAGTTGCGTTGGTTCACTGGGTTTTGGAAAATGATTTAAGCAGCCAATGATCTGACCAATACGGCTACAAATATTAACACAAGTGCTAACCAGCCCGGGGGCTGGGTTTTAAAGGGTGTCTCGGTCTTAGATCGCAGTGAGACAATAGCAAGGACCACGGCCTTACCAAGACAATAGCAAGGACCACGGCCCTAGCGAGACAATAGCAAGGACCACGGCTTCTCAATCTATAAGCTATGTGAAACTCGCAACCGGTGACGTACCGCGGTGGCTAGATTTCTTACGAGATAACACGTCCCATCAATTGGATTGCCTGGTTTGTGTAGTCAATCCAAATACTTTTGGGTGGTTGAATAAATGAATTTGATAAAATCCTACAACTAAACTGATAGCATAATATGCTGCCTGATTTTTGTCATTTTAACATATATGGGAGGGAAACCAAAGTAATATATAACACATTACCAGTGTATGCCAAGTATTTCAGCATGGATGGATATGATAACTGGTACCTTGTATGATAGATAGATAGATAGATAGATAGATATACATATATATATATATATATATATATATATATATATATATATATATATATATATATATATATACACCTATATATGCATATGTATGGAATATTCTCGGATAGCAAGCACCAGTAACAGCTTGATGGTAAGAATAGCAGTCTCTCTCTCTCTC